AAGTAAATCATTTTGGCTTTTATCTTCTTCAGCTATTCTGAGGTGAATAACTCTCATGTGATGTTGGCCCTCTCTTTTTAATATGTCTGTCTGTCTGTCTGTCTCATTTCCTGTGTTTGACACTCACTGAGCTACCCAGTTCTGAACATACTGGTCTGTCTCTCTGTGTGAAAGTTCTTACATATCAGCATGGCCACCCTGCAGTCCTGCAGAAACCTTCGATTACAACTTCTATAATCTTCAGTCAGCACTGCATTATTTCCTGTGACTAAAGATACCAGTCAAGCTGGTATGTAAGAATTTTCACACAGACAGGGAGACCAGTACGTTCAGAGCTGGATAGCTCAGTGAGTATCAAGCACAGTAAATGATAGATAGATAAATGATAGATAGATAGATAGATAGATAGATAGATAGATAGATAGACAGACAGACAGATAGATAATAAGAAGATAATAGATAGATAGATAGATAGATAGATAGATAGATAGATAGATAGACAGACAGATAGACAGACAGATAGACAGCAGGCAGGTAGGCAGGCAGGCAGGCAGGCAGACATGATGGGATAGGAATTATAGTCCAACACAGCTGGAGGAGATCAAGTTAAAACCCCCAATATTTAGCAGTCTTACTTCCTTGCACAAATGCAGTGGATTGTTCCGTAAACTTACCTGACATTTTAGACATCAAGAGTGTGAATTTCACTTTCTAACTTCATTAAATCCTTACCAGATAGGTGTGTCAGGTCACATATCTCAATATATTTACTTTGAGGTAAATCACATTCAATTCAAAAAGATATTCTTGGTTTTTATTCTTGGTTACAGCAGGCTGTATTGCAATGTTGGTTAGATGAGCAGATCCCCCCCCCCACCTGATGTAAAGTTTAAGGGAAATGAAGTTTAGATTGACCTCAAAATGCTACAATGATAAATGTTTTCTTCCAATATATGCCTTCATTAGAGGCCTTTCCTCATTCTTGAGATATTCTGAGTGGTGTTGAGATGAATTTTTTCCTTGAAATTTCAGAAGTAGGGACCACCTCTAAAAGCTGAGATGTTTCATTCCAACCAGAACAAAGTAGCATCCAGAGGGAGTAATGAGGGGCAATCTGGGGGAAAATGGGGCACTATTCTGGGATAAAGGAATAGAGCCCCATTTCTATGCTGGATCTCCCCTTTTTCCTGACTTTGTTGACAAGGCAATCCAGCTTAACGCACTGCAAAATGAGATGTCCCCTCTGGCATTTACCTCTTCCTCCCTCTTTTCTTTCCCCAAAGGCTGCTGCATCCTATTTCAGAGCAGCTAATGTAAGTGGAAGCCAAAGTATTTTACTTGTATATTTGAACTTTTATCTATATATTGATTTCTGCACAGTCCATACATACTGTGCACGTAAGTGAGTCATCTCAAATTTTTATAAATTATTGTTTGATACTTTAAATATTTTCTCTTCCTCCTTCCCCCATACTTTGAAATGTCTACAAACCCAATAGTAAGACTGACTAGGCTGTCATGTGGTAGGCCAGAGCCTAGATGGGAACCATAAAGAAAATTCTTCTTGGGAATTTAATTTTAATTCATAACGATTTAAGTAAAGGATTTCAAGGATTGGAGGAGGGAGGTGCCATCAACAGAAAAGTTATGATTCTGCATAGTATTAGACTTGTTATATGAAATTGATAGTATTTTATACCTTAAAGTCTAGTGCACATTAAGAAAGGACAACTCTACACTTTATTTTGCATTTTATCAAATGTATTATAGCTATGCTTGAGAAGAGCATTAAAACCTTTGGAAATAAGTCTCCTTGAAAGTTGGATGAGATTAGAAATCCAAAGATATAATCTTTGGCAGCGAGATTATTTTTCCCCCCTCTGAGCTCTGCTTTGAAAATGTTGCCAAGGTTGCTAACTGGTATTCAAATCTTTCCAGGGGATGGGGGTGCGATATGAAGGAAATTGGAATTCTGGGGATTTCTCCCTCTCCCTCTCCTCTCCCTTTTAGATGTTGTTGTGTTTATGTGTAATATTTTGGAAGTAATTCAGAACTACTTCTGTTGATTTGATCATTAATCCAGTGAGTTATTAAGCTTCTAAAACGAAAGGTCATGGGTAAGAAAGAGTTACAATTCAACAAGGAAAACAATTGGTTGAGATTGGCTTCTAGGTAGAATTTGTGTCTATCTTAGTTCAAAGAAGTTAAAAAGGGTCAGGTTTCATGGATAACATACCTACCTGATATAGATATCTTTCAATCACAGACATCTATTCATAAATCCTTTTAAATTTGGAACCATTCTAATATTATCATTAGAGATGTTCTTTAAGCAAGATCCAAAATATTTTTGTTCATGGATGTGTTTCATAATTACTTCAATAATCGTCTTTCACAATCTGACCCCCTACAAGGAAGAATCCAACATGAAAGATACCATGGTGAGGAAGATTGCCCCTCATTCCTAAAAGCTTTTGTTTCAGTAATGTTTCAGTAATAAAACATTTAAGGATTAGAAATATAAGCATATATAATATTTCCATACAGGGTTTGTGGATAAATGGGATTGAGATTTAGCAAAATTTAGGATGAGTTCCTGTAATTTAAAAGTCTGATTGACTTTAAGTTCATGTTTTGTCTCCAACTAGGAGTATTGCTAAGATTAGTTATAAATATAAGCCCTGTATTTATAATTAACTGAGACACAATCTACTTCCAACAAATGAAACAAACTATATAACTTCCATAGATGTTGTTTTCATATCCACAGAAGAAAGCTAGGATATAAAACAACAAATAGATAACATTACAGCAATTGCCACAGTAATTGCACTAATAAATAAAACAATAAACTGACCCACTCACATACCACTGGGAATAAATTATGTTGAGGAAAAGAAGACCAGGGCCACTCCTAAATAAGAGACAAAGAATTTGTAGCATTGTAGATATTGGAGAATTATAACTTCCAGCAGGCCTTATCACTGGCTGGCTGTGTCTGGAGGGAATTGGAGACATATTCCTCATCCCTGCACAGATGTGAAGGAACCACTGCAATATTAAATGAGGGAGCACCAGTTATTTTTACTGCATTTCCTAATCAGTTACTTATATGGTGTTTAATAGATGGATTCTGAATAGCAACTCTTCTGCACTGAATGAGATAGTAATACAAGAGCTGCAAGGCTCTTGTATATCAGCCATAAGGTTACTTTTTGCCACTGTCTAGATATTAATGCTGTAGATTATTACCTTAAGACAGTTCCATTTCAAATGTATTCTACTGAAACTCCAAAAAGCTCCAGCAGCCAGCATGCCTGTCCAACCTTCCTAGCCTCTCCCTGCCCCCTCCCCATATGGCTGGTTTACAACAGTCCTGACTACAACAGTCCTGACTATTAACAAACAATGATCAGTCACAGAGACTGGGACAGTGGGTGTTGTATATATTAAAAGGGCATAGGTAGGAGTATAACTCCTACCTATGCTGCCTTATCCTCACCTGTCAAAATCTAGCAGCTGTGATTTAAAGATTAAAAAAAAAGAACAATTCTCCAATTTACTTTGTAAAGGGCCCAGTCTACAGCCACTGAACCATTCTGAAACTGTATGGTTGAGGTGAAACCCTACATTTCACATTTAGTCATAAAACAGAAGCAATAATTGCCTGGGTGATTCTGCAGTTGCACATGAGGATCTCTCAAAGGTGCTAGAACTGAATAAGCTTTTGGAATGAGAAGTGAAACGTTTTCAAAGGGGAAAAAAAAACTAAGAAAGTCCTATGGTATTACTTTTTTTGGAAAAGCACCTTTGGAACAATCATGACCTGGATGATAAGAGAATTTCCGTAGATAAATGTGTGGATTAACTTTCCTACACACCCTTTCAGCCATATTCAAGATATCCAGGAATGGATAGATGTATTCCACATTTCTAGTGGGCAATCAAATTGTCAAGGAAATGAAATGGAATAACAATATAGTAATTTTCAAATCTCCAGCTTTCTTGAGTTGCTTTAGCAAATGATGAACTCTATTAGCACAGAATTGGTATTAGCATTGCAATAATTCAGCTGTAACCTGTTGGATTTTTAAGAGTCTAGAAGCACTTTAAAAAATAGCCAATAATTTTATTTATAGAACGAAAGATTTCAGCTGGAAGCCAGAAATGGAGAACCCACGAGGATCTGGTATCCGTGGACTGGTGCCAACTCGGTGGCAGTTCAAACGGGCCGGCGCTTTTAGTAACAACAAGGAGCGCCCGGAATGAGGCTCAGATTGTTGCCAGAGGCCGCAGAACCGAGAAGGAGGTGCCGAGGCCTCCCGGCCGTGATTTATATTCTTGAGGTTGTGTGACATACGGGGATGCCGAGCCGGAGACTGTGGGTGGGTGGTTAGCGGACGTTTTTATTACAGATTAATAATATTAGCATTCAGAACGGGAAACGAGGTTACTGGAGCCAAGGAATGTTTCCCCAAACGAAAATATTTTAAAACGATCTCTCCTTTCATAAACGAAACCTTCTCCCCGTTTCAAAGATAGGTCTCTCGTTGTTCACCTCCCACTAATTCTGGGTCCATTACTTGGCGACGTCCTTTTCTCTTACCGTCACACGTGAAGGTCAACTGCCAAATAAATGTCCTTTTACACCTGAACGTACCGCGGTGAAATTATAGCTCTGTTCTCAGGCAGATTTTAAATTGAGAACGAGCGGCCCAGCCAATATTTTATCTGAAGAGTTCAGTCCCTGTCACAAAGGATCAAGAGCACAGGATTGTGTCCGCCCATTTTATGCTTAGAAAAATCTATCAGACTTCAAATTCGGGGATTAGGATTTACCTAATTCCTCTTTTCTTCCGCACGAAGATATTGTCTCACCTTCGCCTGCCGGAAAGCAACCACAAATGTTAAGAAACGCAAGTCTGCCTTGCGATTTCTTGTACTGTAAACGGGAAGAAGCCGCATTTGAGTGTCCGGGGTGGGGGGTGGGGGTTAAAGGATACATGAAGGCTTTGTTTCTCCTCAACGAAAATAAGTGATCTGGGTATCTGTTGTGCCATTTAAAAATTGAGAACTGGGCAATTCAATGCGCATAAAAAGTGTTAGGACAAAAAATCTCAAAAATCGCTTTTGGGTGATTGAGGATGAGTTAATCCAGAGACCCGCTGCTTTATTCAAATTAGTGGCTTTCAGGACTAAATATCGCGACGTGAGCTGGCGGCTTCAAGTACTGTACAGTATTGCGTTAATGATGGTAATAACAGCAACAATGAATTGGAAGTAATGCGGCTGAGAACAGAGGAGACTCTTAGTTTCTATTTGGAGTAATCCCTCCCCCCACTCCCATCGCAAACACATCTATTTTAAAGTAAAGGTTCTATACGTGCCCGCTTCCAACGTTTGCCCCTTGCCTCTTTCCCTTTCTTTAAACAGACCCCTCCTTTTTCAATTTGTTCTTTTCCATTATATCTTCTGGATCACTCGCCTGAGTTTTTAATAGTACATTTGTGACCTACTTGGCACACCCCAAGCTACTTCACTAGCACCACCACAAAGTGTGTAACCTTTAATTTTGCAGAGGAGGGTTGATTCATTGCCATAGCTTGCTTTGAGTTTATTCCTTCCAAAGCAATCCTATATATGCTACTCAGAAGAAAATGCCAAGGAGTTTTTTAGGATTTGTCCCCAGGTAAGATTTTGTAGGATTGCTAAGTAACTGCACAGTTATTCTGTGCATATTTATTCACCATCATGATCTATTGCATTCAGTATGGTTTAGTTCAAGAAAAGTGTACTTAAATCTTAAAGAAAAAAAAATCTGAAATAAAAATTGACCTGGTAAACCAAACTACAGATAATAAACAGAGGAAGAAATACAAATTTCAAATGTTAAATCTTGCTCTTTGTTTTTGAACTATCCTCCAATCTTGTCAGTTAGGCAAAGAGACTAAACTAGACTAAACTATATAAAAGTGCAGATTTTATCCTGGTAAAAGTTAGTTTACCGTCTGTGGTGGTCTAAAAGTAATTCTGCAGATGAAAAAAGATGTTTGGTATCCAATCTTGCAATGGTAGTCCAAATAAAAAAATAGCCTAATATTGCAAAAAAATCCTTCTTGGTTCCTTAAGAAAGCCTGACCAGAAAAAGCTAATATCCAAGTGAAGGTCCAAGAAGTTCATCTGTAATTTCTAGAACCGTTTGGTGCAAATCAAAGGTAAAGTTGGATTTAGCAAAAGATTCAGATGAAAAAAATTCTCTCTGCAAAAGTATCATAAAAAATTCCATGGGCCAAATATGATGTTTTCCGGTAGCCAGGGTCTATGAGGAAAGTAACCAGCCCATTCCAGCACTTCTTCCTTTTCTCAATGCCAGTTCTTGTGAATTCAGCAACCTAAAAGGCAGAACTGGGGAAGAAGTAACAATTGGTCTCTCATTTTGACATACTTACAGGACTAAAAATGTGCAGAGACCTCAACTTCTTCCTCCCACTCTCAGTAGTAATGGCAACTCTCTCTTTCCTGACAACAGCAAAAACTAGTGCGAACCTTTTGTCTTTGCAAGCAAAGCTCCCTTTGGACAGGACAGGGGTAATAAATCTTAAGTCACTTTGACATCATCTATCTATAGCTAAAGCTATAGCTATATCATCTATCTCTCTATATCTATCTATCTATCTATCTATCTATCTATCTATCTATCTATCTATCTAATCTTATCCATCCATCCATCCATCCATCCATCCATCCATCCATCCATTGGTTTATTTTATTTTTCCCATTTCAAATTGTTTCATACATCCCCATTCCAACCTAATTTAGAAGTAATCTCAACAAGCAAATGGTTTTGTACCTTTGAACATGCACAGAATAAAATGATGGGCTTTCAGTAACACGCCTTTTTTATTTCTTAATACAGAGGCACCTCTTCCATGCTCAATCATACATTGCTAGAACATACAAACCCAATTACAAAATATGGCTTAATATATAAACTTGATTTGACTCTCCTTCTATTTTATACCCTCTTGAATGTTTAAATTTTCACTTATACACGCACATACAAAACTTCATTACCATGATTCTGTTACCTTCCCTTGAAGAGTAGCCATCATAATTATGTCATATTCTCTATATATGACATCTAGTTTGCACCAGATGAAATAACAGAATATTGAAAGGCCTCTTCTGAAATCTCAGGAAAAGAGAAAAATGTAGGAAGAGGAAGAAAGAGAATAGGATGATAGAAAGAGGTGGGGGGATAGGATTCTCTTTCTGAAGATTTATTAGCATAACTTGACATGTAGTTGAGAAACATGTGGATCAATACAACTCCAGTTCTCCTGCTAGGCCTCTGTGTCCACCATGTCTCTATTTGCATATTGCTTTTTCCTTAACTGACACTGTCAGGAAGCAACCTTGGCGTTTGCCCAAGCTCTCCAAAGCCCACTCACTCACACTCACTCACACACACACATCATCGCCTCTCCCCTTGCCAGATATAAAGTCTCTTTACGGTACATATATCTTTATTCTCTCCTCCCCCCCACCCATTCTCCCCTTAAATGGCAAGCAGGTTATTAGTATTAGAATTGGCACTAATATTAGTATTATGTTTAAACCTCTATCTAAGCATTGCCCTATTGAGGGTTTGATGTAAGCGGTTCTTTCTGTTTTCCCCTCCTTGGTACCCTGTCTGTCGGTTGGTCTGTCTATCCTTCTCTCGAGCTCTCTCTCCTCTCTTGCCTTCTGCTGTAAAGCCAGAGGCCATTGTTAACCGTGAACAGGGCGTAAGGAGAGTATAGGGCAGTCAGAATCCTCAACATCTTTGGAAGGCTGTCGAGAATCTTGTGATTTCTCCCTCTTCTCACCTTCCCCCTCCTCCCCAAACGGACAGAGAGAGGGGGAGAGGAGAGAGAGGGAGAGAGAGAGAGAGAGAGAGAGAGAGAGAGAGAGAACCGGAGCATCCCTCACCAGAGCTTCTATAGAGAGATTCCCCCCTCCCTTTGGCGTTATGACCGGATTTCTCTCTCTAGATATTCCTTGAACATTTTTTTTAACCAAGAGGAATGGGGGGAGCTCTCCTCGCTTATTGATTGCGTTGCTTGCTGGCTGCGAAAATATATTATGTCTGCTCGCCGCGCTGCTCTCGTCAGAGGCTAAGGTAAGGTGGACCGAAATAGGCTATCAGTTGTGAATGGCGGAGACCGTGTCTCCATGATTTATAGCTGTATGACTCGCATCGCGGTTCATGAAGAGTTCACAAGCTCTAAGCTTCCTTCCACGCAGCGACTCTCTCTCGCTCGCACGCTCTCTTCTCCTTCTTCTTCCCCCTCCTTCCCTTCCCTCCCCTTTTCTTCTACTCCCCTTTTGCTCTCTCTTTGCTATTCTTACTCCTTTATTTTCCTTCTCTTCATCCTTCCCTTTTTCACTCAAATTGTTTCTTTCTTTCTGTCTCCTTCTTTCCTTCTCTTTCTTTCCTTCCTTCCTTCTTTCCCCCCCCCCCCTAATCTAGGGTCTAATGAATACAGTAGTTTTTTACTTTGAATTGTTATGTTGTTCATTACCATCTACTTTGGGAAACCAAGCTTTCAATTTAAAAAAAAAAACTGATTAATTTTATTCTAGCAGAGCAATATAATTATGATTTTTCTCACCCATTATGGAAGTTAAAGGGAAAAAGGTTATGGATTTTTCCACCTTGGCCTTACAGCCTTCCTTCAATTTTATCACAAGCTTTTGGACTCTTCAGCTTGTTTTTGTTTTTGTTTCTTTAAATATACTTTATAAAAGACCTTAAGAAAAGAGGCATTTGTTTTGAAATATCCTTGGGAATAAAAATGAAACTTCCAAGTGGGCAAGAAACAACTTCAGGGTTGTGGTTGACATTTCAACAACTAATTGCAAAGGCACGATCTGATTTCTCATTCATTATTCCAATGGATATTTCTCTCTGTATGTATGTGTGTGCATGTGTTTAACTACCACAACAATTCCTTGGAGTAAATCATTTACGATTCCGCCCGTCTTAGACTAAGATAAATGACCGACATTTAGAAAGTGTTGAAAGATGAGGTACAAAAAGGGATCCAAATGTTAGCTACTGAGTGCATAGACTACTTTGGATTCCTTTTTTGGGTAAGAAAGGAGATTAATATTTTAAAGATGCAGCTTAATTTAAGCCAACAAAAGCTAAGGAGCAAAAACCCTTTGGTGCCTATTTTTCCTAGGCCTTCCAGCGCTCCCAGAAAATCCAAAACAAACTGGGAGGGCCTAAAAAGAAGATAATAATGGCTGAGTCAGGGTACTCAACCTTCCGCTTTCATCACATAATCCTTTTTTTTCTTTTCTTCTTCAAACCATTTGGAGAACAACGTTAGATTATCATGTTTGCTAAGAAATATTTCTTGGCTGCTGAATAAAAGCAGGGCAGCTGCCTTAATTCTTTCCAGGAACACCTGGCCAAGGAAGATTTTTAGATGCCTGCCCCTAGAGAGCAATGGCTACAGTTCCGAGGCCAGGGCAGAGAATGAAGAGGAAGAGGTGAGATATACCATAGATTTTGAATTGAATCAGTGTAGGGAAGGTTGGTCTATTTGTTATTCCCCGACAATGGAAAGAACTGAGTGGTGCCTTTCAATACTATTGTTTATGCCGAAAGGAAGAAAAATAGAACGAAGCTCTCTGGATTGAAATGAAGCACAGAAGGGCTGAAGAGAGAGAAAGAGAATTCCTTTCCAGAGATCCATGTTTTACTCTATTAAATGTGTTATAGCTTTTATTATATTTATAAAATTAATTTTCCTACTGGTAAAAGGAGTTTTCCCTTTCTTTGGGAAACACATCACTTCCCATCTTAAATAAAATAAAATCCCAACATAAAAGTAAAAGGGAAACAAAAGCAAGGAACCAAATGGTATTGTGAGAAAAACGGGATTTGTTTTGTTCAAAGAGCAGTTGAGAAATGGGCTGTAGCTGGGTTTTAGGAAAGAGAGAGGCCAGCTCACACCTTGAGCAGCAACAAGACAAAATTTTAACGACTCAGGGAAGAGGAGTTTCCACAACCAATTTCAAACGCAGTCAGAGTTGCAAAAACAGCTTCAAAAGAACCAACATCAAAGAACTTGAGTTCATTCCTCTTTTGAAAGAAGCAGATTAAGTAAATCGAATCTGGAAATATTTCAGAAGTGTTAAAAATATTTTCAATATATTAAATGTTTAATCTCAGAAGCATTTAAAGGTACGGTTAATTATAATTTTATCCAATTTATACTTAGGTTTGTTTTTTTCAAAGCTCCTCAATCCTGAATTGGAAAAATATTATATTTTAATTTTGTAGGTAACAGACACTTGGTAGTTCCATGCGGGTGCCTGAGCGTTGTTAAAAATACGCAAATGCTACTGAAATTCATTCCAAATAGATTTGCAAAGTGACTTTCCACTTTCTTTCATAGTTTATCTGTAATTTCCGGAATTTTAACTTGCAAGCCCCCTCCGGTCCCTGTTTTCTTCGTCTTCATTCAGTCCCTCTAAGAAGCAGTAGCGAGACTGAGATCTATTCATTTCTTTAGCACGTGGAAATAAAATACCTGGCCCTTGCACTGGAGCAAGTGTGCGTGCGTGTGTGAAAAGGCTGGTGTTTAGAGAGGTAGCTGGATTATACCCACGGCAGAGATTTTGGAGAATTGAGTTGAATGATCTAAAAGAAATCCTGCGACAGCGATATTCTCGGTCTACAGGAACTACATATATGGGTAATGGTGTAGTTAAAACAAATAAGAAGACGATCAAAAACAACTGAACTTTAGAAGGGGGAAAGGCCACTGAGGAATCGGTTTGGTGAACGGTTCGCCTGTACGAAGCCCCCTTTGTGTGTGTGTGTGTGTGTGTGTGTGTGTGTGTCAGGGTGTGTGTGTGTGTGTGTATTATATGTATATATCTAGAAATCTTAGCCCAATGGAGAGAGGCGAGGTGCATCTCACAGCACCCGGCAAAAAGCTGGCGGCGGCGGCGGCGGCGGCATCTGCTCCCTGATCCCCGCCCTCCTCCGTAGCCGGCCAGCTATTCATGTCACGCGCTTTTCAGCCGCTAAGATGGATTCGGAGGCCGAGCCGTATCATTGTGTGTGCCTTCTAACCTTTCAGGTCATCTTCCAAAAGACACCGGGGGAAGGGAAGGCCCCCTGTCACGTGACCTGGGGGGTGCCAATGTCCTTCCATGAGAGGGCCAACCGGAGCCTGGTAACAGCGAGCGAGCGCCTCGGGGAACCCCAGCCATGCAGAAGACCAGCTACTACGACACCTCCCCGCTCTTTGGGGCTTATTCCTATCCGGGGGCCAACGGCTTTGGTTACGAGGGCCCTTCTCCGCAGCCTTTCCAGCCCGCGGCTCATGTGGAGAGCGATTACCAGCGGCCCGCCTGCACCCTCCAGTCTCTGGGCAACGCGGCCCCACTGGCCAAGGCGAAGGACCTGAACGGGAGCTGCCTGCGCCCCAGCTTGCCTCAGGAGCACCACCCGCCCCCGCCCGTCTCACCACCCACCAACCCCATCACCGCCACCAGCGGGAGCGGCAGCACCACATCCAACAGCACCGGCGGCAGCAATAACCATAGCCAATCGGGGGCGGTCAAAAGTGTCCCAAGCAAATCCAGCCTGGCCTCTAGTAACGCGGCCCTCACCAAGCAGATTTTCCCCTGGATGAAAGAGTCGAGGCAAAACGCCAAGCAGAAAAACAGCTCCCCCTGTGCAGGTATCTTCTGCTTTTGGAAATAGCCCCACGCTCCCCATGCACCCACAGTGCCCATTACTCCCACCCTGGCACATACACAAGCAAGCCTGGTTTAGTTATAGAAAGCTGGTGGTGGGGTACAAGAAAGAGAAGTGGTGAAGGAGTGCAAGCCAATGCAGTATTTGCCTGTTTAAGAACCGGCAATGTTGGGCACTATGGGTGTTCTCCAACTACCCCCATCCCCACTTGAAAGGTTTAGGCTGGGGAGCCAGCCTGCTTGGCCCTGGAAGAACAACATTGGGGCAGCAACCTGGGTGGAACTACAATCCCCATCAGCAGAGTCATACTAGCTCAGGGTAATGGTGGTGGTCCTATTCTACCTATCTGGATTAGACGTAAGTAGGCGATTAAGATAGCTGAGGAAAAGGATCTGCTTGGAAATTAGATCTCGAGGGGTAAGCTTGTTATTGAGGTGAGAAATGGCTTGCAACAAAGGCAGGAACCTGTCCCAGAGACAGAGCTGAGAATGCCAGAAGGGAAATAGAACAAGGTATGGGTGCAGTAGGAGTGATTTTGTGAATTGTGCATGAACACAGAAGGGCTAAAGGTGGCAGTGGAGGAGCAAGAGGTTCCTCACTTCAGTTCTATGTATTAATAAATTCAACCTCCTTCCTACCTCCATTCCTTCAAAGGATATGGATTTTGATACTAATTACACATGATTAGTATCATCTACTTATATTGAAGTAATGATCTGTCTCTCAGACCTACATCTATGCAGAGGTCCTGCCACTAATAAAATTGGGACTCAAAACACTTCCCTTTTTGATGTTCAGAAAGTTAACTTCCATTAGTCCCAGCTGTTGGGCACACTGTAGGTTTCTACATGTGAGATGGTCATTCTGTAATGCTCTTTATTAAAAAAAAAGAGAAGAACATAAACCTCTTCTCTGAAGGTAAAACACAATTGAATCCGAAAGCTTGCAGTTGTCTTTGTCTCATGACAGAGAGTCTTGCTGGTTTTGATGACTCTCCAAAGAGCTTCTATCCACCCTTCCACCATAGGGCTCTGTCATCTCTTTCCTCAGTCTGCTGGATGTAGAACATGTCTTCTTCAAACCAGACAGTCTGGGCAGAGCTGAGTTATGGTCTCCAGTTATAATGTCTGTTTTTTACACCTGACAAAATGTATTTCCATCAAAGTCCTGAGATGTGTGTTATACTCCATTTTATATGCCATTGGTTTAGCATGGATGCTCACTAATATCCAGCAGAGATTGTCTAATTTGTTGCAGGCATGAAGGCTACTGTTTCCCAATCTCCACCTTCTAATACCATATAAAATATATTTTGTCCATGTATAATGTAGTCATTTAATCCAAATCTTGCCTGGTAGGAAAAGAGGTTTGTTTGGGTTTTTTTGCTTGATATTTGAACTATAGAATTATTAGGGATAACAGGTTTTATAGAGGACAAAGTTTATAATAGCCACAAATGTCAATGGCTCCAGATTCATTTCTAAGCATGTTGGTGTCGAGATCCTAAAATCAAATAGAAGCAAGTGAGAATAATGTTATTAGAACTCAATTCTAAATATACTTAGGTTACAGTTCTTTTTTAGGTATACATTCTTTGAAGTCAGTGACGTTCCTTTCCTAATATAAATAATTTTATTTGACAATTAAACTTCTTGTAGCCAATTTGCTATACTAAGTGATTTTGAATCAGCAGCCCTATTCAAAGTTGTGTACTATGACACAGTTTAATTTGGATGAATAATTTGCATGAATGTGTTATTGCACAAAAGGTATAGAGCTAAGTCATGCTTGAATTAAGCAACCAGATTAATATGTTTGAGCATGTTAATATGGTCCCACTAAAAGGCAATAGCTGGAATCCCAGTGTGTCATCTATGTGCCTGGAGACATCACATCTGATAGACTTTTTACATTTAAAAAACCTTTCAATTAAAAATGAATTGGAAATTGGCATGCTGCATGAGCAAAGCACCATCCTCCAGCGTCACCTTTATTAACTCTAATGCCTTTGGGCCCCAATGGACTGCATTAGGTTGATTTATATATTTTTTAAGAAAATAAAAATGATAGGTAGCTGCAGCCCAGTACTATTTCTGGATGCATGTCCACTAGCTCAGAGTAAGGACAACAGCAAACAATGTTAAGTAGGGAGCACCCTACAGGGAAACAGCCACAGTGGATGGAGGGGTAGGTAACATTCTGATAAATCTGTATTGTTTTCCCCAATGGCAGTCATTTGGGGAAGGAATAAATTTCCAAGCAGCCATTCTGAGAGCACTCCACAGCATATTCTAAAATTCCAAATGTGCCACTGAAAACAAAAGGTGTGGAAACCCCTGGTATAGATTATATTCTAATTTTCATATAGTAATTCCTCTTGCTTAATCTTTAAATTCTTGAATAAAAATTTGCAAATGTTGCATCAACTAAATATTAATGGAATAATACCATAATAGAACAACTGTATGAATTAGATCCAGTTTCACACATGCCTATAATTCAGAATTAAATGCAACAGCTTTCCTCCTTCACTGAAAAGTATAAATTTTAAGGAAATAACTTTGTAAATACAGCTTCATAAACCACTTGCCCTAAGGGGCATGTGAACTGACACCAACATTCACCAAATCTGCTTTAACTTCATCCTCAAATTCTGGTTTTGTCCCATGTAAAAACATTTTCTTAAAACTCTTACGCTTTCTTTACCTCTCTTCTCACTGCAAGATCACGGGGATTTTACCGTACATCACAACAGTGCAGGGAATGTTACAAATTTATTCAACAGATATTAACTATGGCTTCAAATTATCTGTGATTCCCCCAGGTACCATTTATCTCTGTATATATTCATGTATACACATATTTTGGGTATAGGTTTCTTACTTCATCCTGCAGTGGATAGACAATGGCTAAAATGATGATAATGAAGTTTCTTACAATGCAAATAAGGCAGAGAATAGGCGTATGGTTGAAGGGATGGTGGATTCTTGAGCAATAAAGTGGGGATTTTTTCTGGTTCAGGTTGTATGTTGAAATCATTTGGAAAAAAATACTTTTCATATTACACTTGCTTCTGTGATGCGGAATAAAAAGGATTTCTATAACGGGGGGTGGGGAACTATTTATTATTAATGGCTCCCCCAATTGCAGTTTGAAATCATTAGTCCAGCTGCATTGCTTTAAATCTCTGTTAACATATTCTTTTGTATGTGTACCCTGGGTCTGAGTCTTTTTGCTTCACAGCCAATCTTTCTTGCAAGTCAGAATTGGAGGGTCGGGGAGCAATTCCCAGTTCCTTAAAAAACAAACACAATTCATATTTACTTTAAAGCACAAGGTAAATATCAGAACTTGGATTTATATGGAAACCTTGCTTCCCTTTCCTAAGTACATCTTTTGCATTTTTGATTGTAAAAATTTCTGGACACAATCCCATCAGAAGTTCTCCTATGCATTCCTTCCTTGGAATAAGTGGGAGCTTGCAATGGGCTTGTGCCTTTCAAAAGTGCAGTGTGTGTGTGTGTGTGTGTGTGTGTGTGTATACCCTGGAAGCAGACTTCTGAGTTACATCTCACAAAGCAAACAGACACCCACTTTTGTGGACTAATTCAGACTAGCACACCAGCCGAACTACATGCAGGGCAGGTCTATCTACCTAGATGCTTCATTTTGCCTTGCTAACCTCGCCCACATAATTTCCTCTGAAAGGGTCTGCTTCAAAATAATCGACTCCCAAATAAATTGCCCTGGATTTCTTTTCTGCATGACATGATCAAATTTTCATAAAGCGTGGGGCAGCTTTGGAGAACAGAACTCTTAATAAATGACATGATTATGGAGTGGGGACTGGGGGGAGAGTGTAGCCTTCTCGCCCATAGGAGGATTTATTAAGAAGCCTGTGCATTCAATTTTCTGCATGTAAGTAATTATCTTTGATTTCATTTCCCGACCTTCTTTCCAGAAAGCTGCAGCGGCGAGAAAAGCCCTCCAGGCTCCTCAGCTTCCAAGAGGGCCCGCACAGCTTACACCAGTGCCCAGCTGGTTGAGCTGGAGAAGGAATTCCATTTCAACCGCTATCTTTGCAGACCACGCCGAGTGGAGATGGCTAACCTGTTAAACCTCAGTGAGCGGCAGATCAAGATCTGGTTCCAGAATCGGAGGATGAAATACAAAAAGGATCAAAAGTCAAAAGGCCTTGGGTCATCCTCTGGGGGACCTTCCCCCACAGGGAGCCCACCCCAAGCTCTACAGTCCTCTGCAGGCTTCCTGAATGCCCTACACCCCATGACTTCAAACTACGAAGCTCCATCTCCACCCTCTTTCAACAAACCACACCAGAATGCCTATGCCATGCCCACTGCCTACCAAAACCCCATCAAAGGATGCCCCAGCCAACAGAAGTATGCCAACACAGCACCCGAGTACGATCCTCATGTCTTACAGGGTAATGGGAGTGGTAGCTACGGCCCCCCCAATATGCAAGGCAGCCCAGTCTATGTGGGTGGCAATTATGTGGATTCTATGCCCAACTCTGCTTCATCGCTTTATGGGCTGAACCCCCTTCAACATCACCAGCCCCCCAGCATGGAATACAATGGAGGCCCTCAGATGGCCTCCAACCAGCACCATGGGCCTTGTGAGGCTCACCCAACCTATACGGACCTTTCTTCTCACCATGCTTCTACTCAGGGTAGAATCCAAGAGGCACCCAAGCTGACCCATCTGTGATGAAAAGTAGGGCATACTCGGTGGGGAGTTAATAGAGAAGGGAGGTGGATGTGGGATTGGTGAGTCAGGGGACAGACTGGTTATGCAAAAAGAAATGGACAAACAAACATTTGTGTTGAAACCTTTTATGAAAGTCAAACCTATTGTTTCAGGGGCACAGTTTATGCATGCTGTGTCTTGCCATTCCTGCCAGATTTGACCCTAGGGTGATAAAGAGTTTAGGAGGCTTATGGCTAAGCCATACTCTCTGGAGTGGAAGTGTTCCTGTATATTCCCCTCTCAAAGAAAGGTGAATGCACCAGACAGCCTAGTGCCCTTCATATGATTGAGATAACAGTCTTTAGATTAAAATGAACAAATCCTAAGGATCAGCCCTGGTTGAGCTCTAAAAGGCCTGTTGTAAATCCAGGTTAGGAATGGCCAGACTAATGCAATCCCAAAGTGCAAAAAAGTCTATAAGGCTGTGGGAATCTATTCCTTTTTCTTCAGTGTGAGAAGTTACTTTAAGAAATGCATCTTAAACACACACTATCTTTTGTGTTCTTTAGGCAGAGGGAGCAGAGGGGGAGGGGTCAGAGTAAACTTGCGCTTTCTAGGACCCACAACTCTTGTTGGTTTTGTGAATACACATGTGGGAACCATGTTTTTAACTAGTCATGATAACATCTTGAATGGAGCAGCACATTTTCATGAGATACAGACTTTCCACAGGCAGAATAGAGCATTTCTTCAATCTAAAGAAAAGCTGAAGAACTGCCTCAACTCACTATATATACCATAGGAAATTAACTTAAGTCCTTTTACATTTTTGGACTTAAACTCCCATCAGCCCCCATAAGCTAATACATAGAAAAGGGTTGTGGGAAATGCAGTCTGGATCATCTACACACTAACAGATGCATACCATTCTTCTATCACTCTCTTTTCATTACTGCTAAAATCTTAATTACTTCTAAGTAAATCTCTATCACATTGGAATTGAAATAATTTCAATGGGAAAAGAAGTCACCATTCTATTTGTTCACAAGTTGCATTCCCAGTTAGGAAGGTAATAAGGATTCTTAATGAGATTAGGAGCAAACTTCCCAGTCATGTGTATATGTCCTATACAGATCACAAAATAGCAGCCTATTTATACATAATAGATAGGTTCCTTAAATATAGATTGATTATTGATAGATTCATTAAGACTCCAATTTGATAGAAAGGGTTTGGACGTGTATAAGACTGCCCCATGAAAAAGACTTGCTGAAATCATTGATAAGATCCTTCCCCCACCCCCCCAAAAAACTTTACAAACCATTTATTTCAATGCAGTTTGTGCAAGATAATTTTCTGCTGAAAGTTGTCTTGCTGTAGGATTTACTTCTATTCATTTCAAGTATTTTCTTTTCTTAAAAGTATGCAAATATTTTGTTTACAATTATAGAAGGGTATATAGGTGTTTGGAGACAATCAACCATGCAGGAACATATATTTACACATACACAACAGAGGGATTTAGTCAAACTCATTTTGATAAGGGGGAAAGGAAGATGTTACTAGTGAATTTCATCCCTTTTTAAAAAAAAATTTCAAGAATCTGTTTCAGATTTGTATTTCACATATGTATTTGGCCTGAGGTTTCGACACAAATGTTTTGAATGTATAAAAATGTTCTGATTCTTCTGAAATCAATTGAAATAGATAATTTCTGTGACATTTTTTTTTTAAAGTTCATACAACATGCACAAAAAGATCTGGGTGTAGATCTTAAATGCACCTCAATATTTCTTATATCTATGCTCTTCTCTCTTAGCTAAATACTAATCTATCACAATTCTTAAAAGGTTTATTTTACAAAGAAGAAAGAGAATTCTAAGGTATTGAATGGAAAACTGTCTTTTTCCATTCTCAGTGTATCTCCATCCATGTAAGGGTGTTTTGTCCAGTTTACCAACCCAATCCTTACAAATTATTATTCACTGATATATTCCCCTCCTTCTTCTTTAATTCTATCAGAGGCTTTGTTTTTCAGAATTGGGCAGTGGAGTGGTTTCTTTACCAAGTAAATTTAACAGCAAAATTGAGATTGCTTATGCAAATAAAAGTCTAACATCTGGAAGGAGAAAAATAGAGACCTCCCCTTTGTTCTTCCCATGATTATCTACCCTTCTTTATGATTTTGGTTTTAAGGTTGGTTAAGGACTGGGGGACTCTCTCACATATATAATATGTCTTTGCATTTGTCTGCATAACTTCTGTTGAACGTGAAAACAGGGTATATTTGATCAGAAACTGTTATGTCCTCCAAATGGAAGCAAAGTAAAAGATCCTTTGGGGAGAGGATTCCTTTACTGGTGCCTCTTCTTTGGCCTGACATTCTTGCACTTAGAGTTTACATTTTAATGGCTATATATACCAACATTTGAAGGACACACATTGGAATACTATTTTCAATGGAGGTGTGCCATGTTCCAGTAAACATTCATATATATAAATATATAAATATATATTATATTATATTATATTTATTGGTTATAGCCAGTTTTAAACTATTTTTTCTTTTGTTGCATTATTTATCCCCAACATTTATGTATTTATAAGGAAAATGTACTTTTTTTTATTTTAGTATTGACTTGTTATAAAGGACATTGGTCTTTGTCATTGTACAACCAAATTTTATTTTCCATTCTTCCTGCTCTCTCTGTTCTTTTTTAGTTATTGTAATTTAGGAAAAAGGCCAGTAGTTACCTTCGTACTTAAAATAATGTGTTTAGTTCTACTGGAGGCATGAAATCAGGCTGTAATTGTATAGTCCTCAGTTAGAAGAACTAGCTAATCCCCACCCCACCTAATTCTCCTCTTCCTTCACTACCACTTCCTTCTCTTTTTTGAAGCATCTTCCTTTGTTCTTTACAGTAGATAAGTTTATTTCTTTGCTGAAAGGGTTGTCTGTTGAACAATTCTTGAATAAACTTTCTGTTCTTAATTTATTCTTGTCCCATTTGTCAGATTTGAAAACAGGAAGAAAAATAAGGTATCAAATACTGTAGAATGAAGATGTTCAATTAAAAAAAAATAGATTTCTACATTTTTCAGCCATTAATGAGGAAGGCATTTATCTGTCTTATCCCACCTTCTTTGATTCTGTTTATTCTTTTGGTTATGACAGTCACTGCTTTATTTTAGAGCTTATAAAAGGAGGACTATTCCCAGCTGATCATAATTATTTTAAAAGTTAATCAATGGGGGGGGGGTGTTTCCCTCCCACTCTCCTCACAATGACCCCAGTCTCCCCCCATCCACTTGAAAAATCTTGTTCTAAGTAGTCTCACGCCAATTAAAATTACCCTTCATCTTCTGCACATACAAAGAAAGGTGATCATGTGCTGTCCAGACTAAACAGCCATTGGGCCTAAAATGAAAACAAAGGAAAATGATTAATCATAACAAAAGGCACAAGGGCTTTCTTGCTGAAATTAAGAGTGAGTGGGGGGAGAACTTATTGTGAAATTAAATCACTAAGTAAAGCAAGAAAAGAGTTGAAAGCAGATGCTGTTTGGAGCATTGAAAGTTAGGTGGGAGGGAGGGAAGGTGCTTAAAATAGAGACAGTTAAGAATTAAACTTGGTTTAATCTGCCTTGTAAACTCCCGACCTAGATGAGAATTTACTCTTTACAAAACTCTTACGAGACTGGAGCCTAATGTGAATGCCCTGTCAAATTAGAATATTACGTTTGTATGACAGAAGAATGATTCAGATCAGAAAAACATTACAAAAGAAAAGCTATTATTATTAAGAAGATGCTTTGTTAATTCTGCCATTCTAGGAAGGGATGTGGCAAAGGGTCCTTCAAGGCAGAATTTGGGGGCAGAAGGTTACCTCACCTGCATGATCTGCAAGAGGATCCCCAAACATTGCAAAATCAATAATATCACATGCTAAAATCAATAAGAGAACTGGTCTGGGATTAAGTTCAGGACTCCAAAATTGTTAAGCCCAGAGATTCTAAAACTCTAGTATCAGCTAGGAAGTTTGTAGATTGTTGCCATCACTGCTGTTCTTCTATAGTATATTTTTAAATCATAGCAAACACTATCCTCTATGACTGAAGTCAAGTTTTTTGCCTTGCACTTATGAAATCTCTTGTGGGAGAGAAGAAGCTGAACATTTCATTCTGAATCTTGTTCTTTACTGGATTTGGCAAGTGGAAATAATTTTGTGTTTGGGGAATTTATGACTGGAAGTATTTTTTTTATTCAGCATAGTCAATGTGGGGATTTCATTTGTGCAACATCTATGACCCTCCCTGTTCAGAGTTATTTGTGTGATCCCTTGATAGGCCTCTGCACTTAGAGTATATTTCCTAAAGTAAAAACATAATGTAAAGTTAATGTTCCTGTTAGAAAGGGCAGTTGGGAACTGAAGTGGACTTTCTGTGGCACATCCCACTGTTTATTGGATGGTATAAAGAATCACATAGTACTTCTATGAATGTTCTAACCTTGAAGTTTAATTTCAAAACCCTTTTTCCAAGCAAGCAATTGAGACCTTGGGATCTGCCCTTTCCTCGGCAAGCCTATTGTCCAAGGAGAAAAATGAAAGGAGTGAGTCAGAAGCAGTGAGAATGATGACTTCACCCACTTCTTGATTCAACTCCATCCCTTGATGCAGTGGAATGTGGCCCCACATAGAGGAATATTCTCCATCAGAACAAAATGCCTGTTTATCTTTGGTCCCAAAAGTCTAACAGGAATATTGTATATTCACTGGCTAAATTAGAAAGGCACAACTAAATCAGTGGGCAATATGCTAACATTGGTTAGGATATGTTTATATATGAACAGTTTTGAGAACCAGATATGTTGGGTTAGTCTAAAATTCAATGTTCTGCATGAAGCTAGAAAATGAGTGAATTCAGTAGTGACTTTGGGTATGTTGATTGAAGACAGCTATTCTGGTATTGGTTTAAGTGAGCTGATACTACATATTTCCTGTAACAATCATATGCCATTGTTTTGTTCCCATCCCATTAAGTCCATCACTGTCTGTAATAATTCTGTGCAGGAGGAAACATATCTTTGTAAATCAAGTGCTGGAAAACAGTAGAAGAAGACTTCTGGCTTTATGTACTGCCTGTGAGGAATGGGAGCTTGGCCATTATAGAATAAAAGATGGTCAACTAATTAGATGCAACAGCAATTTTTTTGCTCTAATGTAGCTGATTAATACCAGTTTCAGAGAAAGGCATTTATCCAACTTCAGACTTGAGACTGTACAATCTCAGTGGGATGAACTGTAAATGAATTGTATGTTCTCTGATTTTATAAAGACATGGTTATAGGCCCAATACTACTGTTTTATGGACCTGCTACTATTTGTACTTCCCCTATGCCATAGAAATAAAGTGTTTAGGGTGGAACCATCTTAGCTGAATTCAGGTTGTGAATTCTTTCTGCAATAGCATCACTTCTAAAAGTTTTATGGGAAGGAACCAAAGCATTAGTTTGCCACAGCATTCTCCAACCTGATTTGTTGGACTGTAGTGCACATGAATCATACTGGTCACATTGATACAGAGATAGAATACTTGCTACAGTGTGTTGGCCATAAGTAAATATTTGCCCATATTAAAAAAAGGTCTCATCACATTGCCCATGTACATGCTATTTGAGCCACCTCATATGCTAAATATGTTGAAAAACTCTTACTCTGCAGATATTTTGATATCATGTGAGATAAAATATATACAGGACAAAGAGACCATAGGCCAGGTTCATAGAACTTTCTTCCTGCACTTCATTAACTTCTTACTGGAGTCGACAGGACTGGCTTGGCATAATTCTCCCTAGTCTATAGCTTCTTAAAAAGGCTGCTGCATATTGCTTTATATTACAGTGGATTGTTTATTGTAGTACAGTATAAGTATGATTTCAATTTGCTGTCAACTGAACTCCAAAGCAGCTTCATTGTCTTCAGCAGGATGACTAAAGACATTCTAGATGGCAACACTATTCTCACTGCTTTAAAGACATATCTTTGCATCTATTGTTGGTCTGGGGCTCTATCTTTAATGAATGTAAGGAGGAGAAAAATAGATTGCTTCCACAAACAGGCATGAATTCCAGGCCAGAGGGACTTAAAAAAATATTTGATTTTGTTTTGTTGGTATATTAAGTTCCACTGATAATTAAAGCTTTCATGCAATCATAAATAACATTTTTTTAAAAGCACCCGAAGCACCCTTTCTTGCATTCATGGTTGTAGCTGGGTTATGCTCATCCATCCAAGAAGTAATTTAATATTCTGTGGTGCTGTAATTTAAAAGCATAAGAGCGTGGAAAGTTTGATTGGGATCTGATCAAGCAACAATAGTCAAGAATGCAGTATCTCCCCCTCCCCCACGATCATTTCCTTGTCTGTGATTTTATGGATGATTTAACTGAACTAAAATATTGGCCCCCGTGTTATTCAGACCTTTGTGAAAGGGTTCCCTCAAATAAATTATTCTAGCAAAAAGACCTACTTACTGGCAAGCTACAACAAGAAAGAAATCTTAGAGAGTAAAAGTGCATTCTTTATCTTATATTAGTACTGCCACCATTATGTATAAATAAAGAAAGTTCCATTATGCTCAAAAACTTGGCTTTCAAAATCAAGAATTCAGTATCAGATTATAAATTTAAAATCAGTATTATTCTATGTGGGAGTGCCTCATATTCTCAGACACATTGAACTAAATCTATCAAACAGGGAAAACACTTTACTATTTTTAATACTTACATATTGCTCTTTTAGCAATTTATAATCCTATATTCAGAAATAATTCCTATCCAGTTAAAAGGCTGTTATTGCAGCCTGTTTCAAAATATTCAGGTCAAATGAAGGTTAATTGGCCAGAAAATTTTAACTTTTGACAAAGCCCAAGAAAACTCACCTTTTAGCCATTCCTTCACCAATTAAAAAAAATCCCTCCCCTGCATGCTTGGTACATTTTTTCCAACAAATCTTCTCTATATTTAGTTGAATAAACTAACAACAGAATTCCATGTAAACAGATACTGAGAGCTATAATTTTTAAGATCTTCTCTTTTTTTATATATTAAAAACAATGGCAAGTGTTGTAAAAACAAAAATGCTTTCAGGAAAATTGTACAAATTTATTTTTCTTCTTAGCATTCAGTACTTTTATATCCCTAATCACTTGACTTTCATCCATTCTATTTTATAATATTTATATTTTTAAAAATATGCACTGATTTATAAAATAAACTTTTCTTTCATTCATAAAACTAACTTTTCTCACAGTGAAATGTGTATTTAGATATTTATTTCTAAAACTTTCTAGCCATCTTAAAGTTATAGCTCTTAGGGCAACATACAGTTTAAAGAAAACTTTAGGTCATACACATACAGCAGATGATACCAATCTATTAGAATATTCTATAAAAGCAGCAAAAATTTAAAATAAGCAACAGAACAGAACTTAAAAGGCCATGAAAAATAGCAGAGTAGAATCAGATGGATCTTAAAGGGGAGAATATTCCAAAGCTGGAAGGGACTTCCTTTAAGGCTTCAGCATGTGAGGATATCTGGAGCAGGACCTCTCATGATAATCTCAGGGTTGGGACAGAATTTATTGCAAGTTAGTTATATTAGATACAACCATCTCTGTATCTGTGTCTAAAACATCAATTCATATAATCTTGCATCTGTATTACTACAAAACATTATTCATCATCACTCTAGATAAACCAGACATACCAACAAAGTCAGTGGTTTTTAGTTGAAAACGAAGAATGGCACTAATATCGGCAGTGCAAATGCAGCTATATCAAATATGATCAGCTAAATGGACTTTATATGGAAAGGAGCATAGCATGAAAGGGAATTGAAGATGAAATTCTGTTGGCAACTTCTCTGCAGACTAAACTCAAGCACTGAAAGGAAACTTACAAGTACACTGATTTGTTTCTTTTTATTTTTTTTACC